TAACATGATGAAATAATACATAAATGATTAAAAAGAAGAGCAACAGAATAAAAAAAAAATTAAACTTAACCCACTGAGTGAGTTCTTCTGTTTTCAGAAGACGAAGAGGGCACCCCATGTGGTCCTTGAGGGCCCCTTGGTGCCTGCGGGCACCGCATTGGTGACCCCTGATCTAAAACATGCAGGGCAGGGTGCCTTGAGGAGCAGGATTGAAAAACACTGCACTAGGCCAGCACTCCCCAATAATCTCATGTAGTGCTTCCATCGTGATCAAATCTGAGGAGGGCAACATGGACGGGTGCAATGGAAGACGTATGTTTGGGTTTTCTTTTGATTTTGGTATTTCTACTCCACAACAAACCAACGCAGAGCTGCATTTCTGCAGAAGCGGCCTCCATCTGCCCATCCACCTCCTGCTTCATACCACCATTACTCATGCACAGGATACTTGGAGGATTTCTCTGCAGGGAGCAATTCAACATTTCTTTCTGGCAGAGAAGCACAGGCTCACTGCAGCGGCTTAGAAAGCAGCCAAGATGAGGCTGACTGTTGCATGTATAACACTCCTAGACCCGTCACCACAGCAGCTGCAGCAGAGCACAGCCTGGCATGCTTACAGTGCCAGAATATGTGCATTTTATTCTGATCTCCGTCAAAAACACCAAACTGCAAAGTTTTTGCCATTTTTCAAATCAAGCAAAAACTCCCCCGAGATTCAATGTCTTGACTTCAGGAATCGTTTATCAGGTTGGGAACGATATATTTTATCAGAAGACGGGGGGTTGGGGGGTTGCTGGCAGTACAGGATGAGGATGGCGCCAGAGCGTGGTTGGCAGGGTGCTGGGGAGGTAACTGAAACATATGGACTAAATGAAGATTTATGGATGTGAAAAACTATTTATGAAGCAGATGGTTTATTATGTTTCTACCAAAATGTCATTTTGTGAAAAATAAGAATGTTTGACTTTACATTTTTAAAACATAAAGAAATAATAGTTTTCCTTACCGCCATTTATTAGACGCTTAACTTATCTCCCTAAATCAAAGAAAAGCCCAATTTAGAGCAAATTTATTTTCCAACCAGACCAGAAATACCAGGCAGGCTTTGGAATCAGTTCAAAACTGAGGACTGTGAACCATTATTCATTTGAACAGAGCCTGATCATTTCTGCTTAAACTTGAGACAAAGTGGTTGTTTTAGCAGTGTGAAGTAGTGTGAATTGCCGCCTTTTACAGCCTTGCCACTCACACTGAGTCTGGTTCTGCTGGTTCTGTTTCTTCCAGTTAAAAGGGAGTTTTTCCTCTCCACTGTCGCTACAAGCATGCTTAGCGTGAGGGATTGCCTTCCAGTCAATGAGTCGGAGCAATCAACTGGTTTTCCTTGGATATAAAATTTTGAATTAATTTGTCTGTATGATCTGGTGAAAGTGTCTTAGGATGATGTGACATTACATTAAAATGTAATATTTTATATAACTATAATATAATATAAAATTTAATTATATATATATATATATATATACACTATATTGCCAAAAGTATTTGCTCACCCATCCAAATTATTGGAATCAGGTGTTCCAATCACTTCCATGGCCACAGGTGTATAAATTCAAGCACCTAGGCATGCAGACTGTTTTTACAAACATTTGTGAAAGAATGGGTCGCTCTCAGGAGCTCAGTGAATTCCAGCGTGGAACTGTGATAGGATGCCACCTGTGCAACAAATCCAGTCGTGAAATTTCCTCGCTCCTAAATATTCCACAGTCAACTGTCAGCTGTATTATAAGAAAATGGAAGTGTTTGGGAACGACAGCAACTCAGCCACGAAGTGGTAGGCCACGTAAACTGACGGAGCGGGGTCAGCGGATGCTGACGCGCATAGTGCGAAGAGGTCGCCAACTTTCTGCAGAGTCAATCACTACAGACCTCCAAACTTCATGTGGCCTTCAGATTAGCTCAAGAACAGTGCGCAGAGAGCTTCATGGAATGGGTTTCCATGGTCGAGCAGCTGCATCCAAGCCATACATCACCAAGTGCAATGCAAAGCGTCGGATGCGGTGGTGTAAAGCACGCCGCCACTGGACTCTAGAGCAGTGGAGACGCGTTCTCTGGAGTGACGAATCGCGCTTCTCCATCTGGCAATCTGATGGACGGGTCTGGGTTTGGCGGTTGCCAGGAGAACGGTACTTGTCTGACTGCATTGTGCCAAGTGTAAAGTTTGGTGGAGGGGGGATTATGGTGTGGGGTTGTTTTTCAGGAGCTGGGCTTGGCCCCTTAGTTCCAGTGAAAGGAACTCTGAATGCTTCAGCATACCAAGACATTTTGGACAATTCCATGCTCCCAACTTTGTGGGAACAGTTTGGAGCTGGCCCCTTCCTCTTCCAACATGACTGTGCACCAGTGCACAAAGCAAGGTCCATAAAGACATGGATGACAGAGTCTGGTGTGGATGAACTTGACTGGCCTGCACAGAGTCCTGACCTCAACCCGATAGAACACCTTTGGGATGAATTAGAGCGGAGACTGAGAGCCAGGCCTTCTCGTCCAACATCAGTGTGCGACCTCACAAATGCGCTTCTGGAAGAATGGTCAAAAATTCCCATAAACACACTCCTAAACCTTGTGGACAGCCTTCCCAGAAGAGTTGAAGCTGTTCTAGCTGCAAAGGGTGGACCGACGTCATATTGAACCCTATGGATTAGGAACGGGATGTCACTTAAGCTCATATGTGAGTCAAGGCAGGTGAGCAAATACTTTTGGCAATATAGTGTATATATATATATACACCGTAAATCCTCTAATATTGGTCTGTATACCATTAGCAGCCAGGTCTCTAATTTTGGCCTGTCTAGCTGTCGGCAGAGGTAAATAATGGCCGGGCTGTTATACAGGCCGGCGCTATAATTAGTACCAACAATGTTTCTGGGCGGTCCTCAACAACTTGTGATAGTAACATACAAGTACCACAGGGGGGCAATTTTTGCTAACGAATCCAAGCCATTAGCATGGGAAGTCTCATCCTTACCCCAAACAGGAGGCCGGCTTTTTTTGTTTTTAATGCCCGAAATTGTGGAAAACAACTCGTGAAGTTTGACCAGCTAGAAGATCGAGGAGCGCGAGAACGCTGGGACCCTTTTTCCACCTGGATCTCCGCTCTTTTTCGCCGTTATGTCCCTTCGTTGTCGGGCAAACTCGCCCCCACTTCCTCATCGCCTAGGCCGTATCTAGACCCACAGCATATAGCACAGACCACGCTTCTATTCTGAGCATAAATCAAAAATGTCTGCATCAAGCTCACTTGATTACCGGTAGGTCTGGTTGTAACCAGGCAGCGTTGCAATGACAGAAATTCGTTGGCTTTCGTTGTTCTGAATTTCCCTTGAAATATATGATACTGATAGCCTACTTCCACTTAGCCTGCCTCAAATAAAATTGATATATGATCTGGTGAACTGTAAAGTGACTTGAGTTGACATGTGTTGAGAACTGGCACTATATAAATAAACTGAATTAAATTGAATTAAGTACTAATCTGATCTAACTGCGTTCCTTTACTGATTGGCTAATGGGGTGTTCACAATTAATACAGTCTCAGCATCAGGATGTGTGCTTTATATGCAAAGTTTATGGAAAACAGCCCACAGCATAAAGGGGTCCAGCACCATGATTTAAGAACCAGGGATGGTGAGTCATGAGCATTTATGTAGAGCAGTGGATGCAGGAGTTGGGATATCTGAACTCTGAGCATCAACCAATCAGACAGGCTGATCCAGGAGCACAACATGCAAGCTGTGATCTCTGCTGCACTGTCATCCATGCTGGAGGATCTGCTGAGCCGAACAACAACAGAAGCATAACAATCATGATTATCTGCCTGCTCAGACGACGTTTTGATATTTTCTGACTTTAAAAGGTCTTTAAAAGTTATAAAGTATCAACCACTCTCTCGATTACAAGGAAAAGACCAGAGCAGCTTAACACCTGAAAAGTTTAGCATCAAGAACCTCTGATTCAAAATGCAAAAACGTCCAGGTTGAAGGTTTGGACGCTTTTTCGACTTTGGAAGGCTTTAAAAAGCACATTAGGGAGTCTATCATTTAACAGATAAAATATGACGGTTCAACTCTCTTCACTGGAAAAACTGTCTAGAAATAAGATAACAATAAGATAACAAATTTCTTAAATTAAGTGTTTTTAGATTTTAAGTACTGTATTTGAGTACATAAATGAGAGTTTGCTAATAGAATTAGTATTTTTACTCTTAAAATAGCAAAATTAGATAAAATGCACTTGAAATAAGACAATGCAATTGTTTTCTTATTTTAAATGGAAATGTCTTGTCTTGTTCCATTTGCAAAATGTCTCTTTTACCTCCTCAATCCAAAGACAAATTGACTTATTCTAAGAAAAAAATGTTTATCTAGATTTCAATTTTTTCCAGTTTTTGGAAAGAATTAGCGAAGAAAAATCGTATGTTTTCCAACTATTGTCTTAAATAAATTAGATTTCTACCTGGAGTTATTATTTGACGTTTTGTTCCACTAAAATCATCTGAATACCTTTAGAGAGGAGAGCAGCTTCCCCGGTAAGGAGCGCCCATAAAGGCTGAAACATTTGCTTTCAGTGTGATTAGATCTGATCTTTGGCAGATATATAAAACCATTCTTAAATCTTCTTTATCCATCTGATTTCATTCCAAACTGATTTCAATTTGCATCCATTACCCAGAATCAAAGCTAAATTTGTTTTTCCGGCTTAGAAGCAGAAAACCTTTAGACATTTGGCTTTCCATCTGTCAGTTCAGGCAGACAGGTTCTCTGCCGACCTAAACACAGATGTGCAACCGCACTGCCGACAACAACGGCAACAAAATCAGCAACATAACGTACCACTGACAATAGGTCTAGATGGAGCATTGAAGGTACTGAGGATTATAACCTGGCCCTGCCTTTAGGCGTCTGCTGTCATTTTACTGCCTCTCTACTCCTCTGTAAGGATATTATGCTCCAGCAGATGTCCAGCTTGCTGTTGATCTGGCAGCCTTGGGCCTGCTGTCGCTCCTCCTCCAGCTGTTTGGGGCTACTGAGGCGAGTCGTCTCCTGGTCCAGCTGGGGCAAACTCTCAAAGTCAAACTTCTCCACCTGGATGGCCATCCTGTAACAGGAGATCAGAGGAAAATTCACTCATAGAAGTCTTAACTTATCAACCTTTTTCCAATTTATAGAGTTAAATATCTAAGGTTATGTTGATTCATTATTTTCAGTCTTGTAAAGCTCAGTCACTGCCTCCATTAAAGGAAGCATCACTTGTTTCATCTGAAGCACAAGACTAAAATGTTATAAAAACACATAATTATTTTCAATGTCGTTATTTTAAAATGTTGTTCAATAAAAAAATAAAAAATAAAATTCTTTCTGAATAAAAATGAAGAGCAAAAAGCAATAAAAATGTTAAAATCCGTAGCTCAAAGTCATAAGAAATAAAAGCTAAGCTGCTGCTGGACTGTTTTCCACAAAAGCTGACGCATCCTATGTACATTGAGTTTATACAGGTTAAAAGTCGTAAGGAAGCGGCCGTTCCAACCGTTGCATTTCCAAATTCTCCCGAGTGGTGCACGACTTTACATGAGTAAATAAAGTGAATGTGATTGGTCAATTATCAAGGGGGCGGGATTGTTGTGGCAGAAGGTACGCAAGCAAGTTTAATTGTGGCCGCTTTGTCGGAAGCATCTTGCTAACCAGTTAGCAACTTAGTGCTAGTAGGTTCCCAATGGGAAATTACATTGGGACCATGTAGCAATTAGCAACGACACTGTCAAGAAACGCCATGGACAGCAGAAACATGCAAGAGGAGGAGAGTTTTGTGTCAGAGGTCGTGGATGAGTCTCCTTCATCATACATTTTTTTATTTAGAGAAGGAAAGTCGGGATGAAAATGTTGTGGAAGAGGACGCCAAGGTGGCAGAAGTTTGGTTTGGTGTAGAAGGCTTACAGACGAACATGTTTGAGCCCTTGCCTCGCAACGCTGCCAGTTCTGTTAGCTCTACGCCTGCTGAAGACACAGACGTCCATCCCCGTGAACACTGGGACGGAACTCAATGGGAAAGGAAATGATTCTTATATCTTATTTCAACTGTTGCGTATATTAGCTGCAACAAGATGCAATGACCGAAAAAAATGTGATTGACAGATGACCGTTGATATATGATTGGACAAATTTAGGTGTTCTGGCTGAAGTATAACTAACTGGCCTGCATAAAATAAGGTAAAAAAAAAAAAAGATTCTAAGACAGGGTTTTTCTTAAATAGAAATGTTCTAAATTTTGGAACAATATCGTCAGATAAAGAGTACATTTATAAAGATGTTAAAGCCAGAATGATTTGACATTCAAATATAACTACCCTACGACTTTTTTTTCTTTTTCTTCTTTTTTGTTTTGTCTTGTTTTGTTATGACTTTATTAATTTACTTATATTTGCTTTTTATTAAGTGTTCGAAATAAAGGATCAATAAACAATAAACATAAAATTTAAATTGTCAATAAATTAAGCGCACATTAGTTCCTGTCATGTATGTTGAGTCTCCTCACTGCTTATGACGTGTTTTTTTTTAGAGCATGTGAGTTGGGAAGAAGGGTGTAAATATGTGTTTCTACTATGGGAAAAGAGTAAATTACTGTTTGATTGCTTATGATTCACACATTTTATTAATACACTTATGGTACCCTGACCATCTTATGGCCCTTTTAGGTCGGCCACGGCTCACGCTAGGTTTGGTGTTCTGGGTCGCGTTGGCTAGGATGGCCAAGCTAGTTAGTAGAAAAACAGCAATAGGGGATAAAAAGGAGGTAGTGAGTTCACCAAAAGCTTTAGGTCCAGGGAGCAGATGGACTCCCAGCTCCGTTTGCAAAGCAGCCACAGACGCAAACTTGAATCATAAGGTTTGGTGAGTTCAGACACACACATATGTCCTTCATTTTGCTTTGAGGACTTTCTAGCTATTGGTTTGGCATCTATTGTATTTGTCACTGTGAAAGCTCAATAAGCGCTACGCTTTGCAAGACAAAGTGATAAAGCCCCCTGACACCAAGACAGCTATTAAAAATAAGAGAACAGCTGAGCGTCCTTTCTGAAAAGGCAGTAAGTCTAATAATTATTGTTGGATAAACAGAAAATGAGTATGGAAAGCAGTTACATTGAAATTTAGGCAAATAAAGACAGGCTGTTTAAAAACTATTATTAAATATTAGTGCTGTCAATCGATTAAATTTTTTAATCGCGATTAATCGCATCAATGCCTGAGTTAACTCGCGATTAATCGCATTTTAATCGCACATTTTTTTTCCTGATTGAAAATCATTTAAATACTCTCGATGACATACAAAAAAATACATACAGGCTAGTTTTGTGCCGATGTTCTTTTTTTAAAATGAAAACAGGTCACAGATACTGATTTATGCCATAGAAACATATGGCAAGAAGATGGGGAGGCATGTAGTAAAAAATAACAAATATGTAGCCAAAAAAAAGGCCCTGAAAACAGGCTGATGTAAAAGACAGTCTTTACAGTTAATACAGTCTTTTGAACAAAGACAAGCATTTTACCCTACTGCTATAAAATTTAGTAGAGTTAACATTAGATGTTAATTAACCAAGATAATAATGAACAATTTTCAATCAATACATCAAAATCAATAGACCGACATCACTAGATGAAGGTAGTCTATGCTCTCTAGAAAGTTACTTTTCAGCCTCTTAACAAAAATGAGAACACACACACACCCACTCACCCACACACAGACACACCCACCCACACACACACACACACGATACCGACAAGAGTGCCGTAGCAGATTCCATTTCACCTCAGTAATCTGTTTTCTCAGCGTATTTCAGGTTGCTACTAGTTACCAGACACTCAACTTGTTTGTTGGTGGTGGGGCTTAAAGAAAAGGCACTAGCGTCACCCAGTGTATCAGCGTCTTTTTCCCTTGAGGAGGTCCGCTCTCGAAGCCTATGGAAAATGCATAGACTGGGGGAAAATAGCCCCGCCTTCCCGCAGGCTGCAGCGGGATGTACTTGGAAAATTGTACCATAAAACCACATAGCGTTAATCTCACGTTAAAAAAATTATCGCAGTTAAAATGGCCTCGCGTTAACGCGTTAATAACGCGATAATTTTGACAGCACTATTAAATATATAATGATAAATAAAATGTAACATAGAAAAAAGCTTTTTTTTTAGCTTATTTTGTAATTTCTTTATTTAAAAATATATTTATTTATTTTTAGACATGACTTTTTTTATTGATGTATTTTGTATCAAAACATATTTACATATTTAAAGGTATTGTGAAGGATTTTTCGTGATTGTTTTAAAAGACCTGCCCCTTTCACTTTAAAACAAATGCACATGCACAACCCTGTACCCGCTCTCCAGAGGGAACGCCTATTAAATGCTTAGGAGAACGTGCATGACTCCATTTCTCCTCGTGCACGCTCTATTTAAGAGTTACTGTCCTCATAGCTCATACAAGCTGACTGTGTTCAAACATCCTCCCTAACCCCTAAATCCCTCAATCACTATATAGAGAGGGGATATAGTGGACTTTATAGCAAACTCAGTTAACTTAATGTTCGGAGAGATGATCACTGCTTTTTGCTCCGTTGGTCACGTAACTCCTCCTCCAATGCACGGTCCCCTGCGCCATCTTTGTTATGAGTCGCCGCTGTCGGGTAGCGGGCCACTGTGACAGCAAATCCCATAATGCTTTGCAAGTAGAGCTCTCCGCGCAAACCATTCTGGGATATATCTGCCTCTTTTTCCTCTTTTCATCTCATACACTTCGTAGACACTTTTTCCTCATGACCCTCGGCCATTTTTCAAAGGACCAAGGGGAGAAAGGTGAGCTTCAATGACTGAAACCGTAGCTCACCATAGATATAATCCTGTGCATGCACAGAAAAAGATAGCTAGCCTTACGTAAACATATCACCGGAACTTATTTAGATGATCCACCCAGAAATAAAAGATCATTCTCTATACCTTTAATTAGATAGTTATCTGCACATTTATTTTTCATAATAGTTTTTTTCATTTTTTTTTACACTTATTTTGAAATGCTATAAAAAAAAGAAGAGGAAAAGAAGTTTAAATATATACTTTGGCTTTTTATGAGAACATTTATTTTTGGGGAATATTTATCTAGAATTGATGTATAACAATAATTTTGATTCATCTAATTTGAAATGAAGCAGCTCTCCATTAAATGATTAGATACTAATTAGATAAACTAGTGGGGAAAGCATCAGTTTTGACACACAACAGGCAGCTAATATCAAGGTATAATAAACTCAGGCATCATCAGTGATAATTATCCTAACACTATCACCCAAAGGATTGTTTTATAATAGGAGAATGATCAAAATTGGGGGGAAAAACTCAGAATGAGGAATAGCTAAATGATTATGGAGGATTCAATAAGGTTTATTGGCACAGAGGTTACCTGCATGGCCCTTCAGTGATGTGAAGACAAAATGTTAACAGGAGAGGAGAAAAACAAAACCCACTAATTCCTGAACATTTCCTTTTTAGAACATGAAACTGAATTGGATTGAACAGCAATCTAATGTTATGTTATGAGATTTACTTAATAAACTCAGACTCCAACACAGATAAACTGTTTGCCATTTAAGTTGATTTATATATCAATAAATCACACACTCATAACACCATCTAACTTTAATTAGTTAACATACTCCTGCAGTGTTCAGATGTAAAAACGGTTATTCAGTTCTACCTCTAACTCCAGTTGGCCCATTCACTGAGCGCATTCTGAAAACATGAACCTGGAACTTCAATACTTTCTGTTTAGAGATCCAACTTTGAAGGAAACCACCTTTTAAACCAGAAAAAAGTGTTTACTGTAACTTAGACTGCACAGACTATCCATTAATATGCTGACATAATAAATACCAAAACACCATCAACAGCTGTAACGTTCAATACTTCCTTATTGGATGACAACCACTTCCTGCCGGTTTGTGTGCCGAGACGAGTCATGAATTATTCATCCTATTCTGAACAAGCAGATCTAGTTTTCAGTCTCTGCTTTTAAACTGCTGGTGTTGCTAAGCTCAAATTTAACAAAAGCTA